GCTGAAATGTATCAAACATAGTGGAGCATTTCATCTCTAAAGAGACAGATACTTCCCCCAGGAGACCAAAAATGGACTTAGATTTGCCAGGAGGTCAGAAACATGACTCCAGACGAATGATAATGTTGCCCGGTGTCTGCTCAATGTATTCTAACATTTTCACCATCTATATCACCATTATACGGTGATCATATGTTGTGTCTACAGTTTATTACATTGTCCCCAGGCCTTCAAAGTTGTCTAGTAATGCAGCATTAAAGGGACAGTTCACCCCAAAATCAAAAATATATATTTTGTCTTTTACCTGTAGAGCTGTTAATTAGTCTAGATTAGGGATGGGCAAACAATCAAAATTCATTATTCGATCATCAAAAAAAATTAACGATCAATTATCGATTCATTAATAAGCAAGTACAGTGCAGACTGTCGCCGCAAGACAGCGCAGCTGCCCCAGTTTTGAGCTTCAGCTGAACAGCTATGTCTCCTTCCAGAAATCATGACCCTGTCATTCAAGATAATCTACAGACCTTATTGTGAGCAGTTTCATGTCGGAACAATTTTCTCTTGACTGAACTACACCTGCCAACCGTATCACTGCACAGAAGGAAGTGCTCATCTACTGCTAGCTCACCTAGCACCACTGAGCTAGCTAATGTTACAGCTCAGCCAAGGGGGACGCCATTAATATTAACATATCATGTTGTCACAAGCCTTTCGTTGATTAGTAGATGCACGCCTTCTTCTGTGCAGTGATACAGTTGGGGATGTAGTTTGGTAGAAAGAAACTAGTCCCTATATGATAAGACTCAGTTTTTTTCTTTCTACCATGCAAGAATTTAAATATTCACTAGTTTTTTGAGGGACCTCTGAATCTCATGTTCCTGTCACTGCTTCCACAGTGTGTACAGTGGATCGATGACGCCAAGCTGAACCAGCTGAGGAGGGAGGGGATCCGATACGCCCGAATCCAGCTCTACCACGATGACATCTACTTCATTCCCAGAGGAGTCGTCCACCAGTTCAAAACCGTGTCTGCTGTCTGCAGTCTGGCCTGGCACATCCGGCTCAAACAGTATCACCAACAGGAAGAGAAGGAGGAGGAGGCGGAACAAGCGGAAGAGGAGGAGGAAGAGGTTAAGGAAGAGGAGAATTGTGCGCCCAGTGAAGTAACACTTCATATCAAAGAGGAGGAGGTAGACGAGGAGGTCGAGGGGACGGAGTGCGAGCCTGCTGTACAGACGGTGATGAAGCTGGAGGAAGAGGACGTCAAGGGAGGGGAGGGGCCGCCCTCACAAACTCCGACACAGATTTTCAAGGAGGAAGAGCAGGAGAACAGAGCTGAGATGAAGGGGTCGTCAACAACACAGTCTCCACCTTTCGTCAAAAAGGAGAGAGATGAAGGTGTACTTACACACACACTAACGGAGCCTAAAGCTGAGGAAGATGAGAAAGAGGATGTTATGGGAGGGGGAGAAGGAGGTGCAGACACATGCCAGACACTGCAGAAGGGCCACGAGGAGGGTGGAGTGGACAGTGCATCCCTAAAATCACTACAGCAAATTAGGAAGGAGAATGACGTGGAGGAAGAGAGGCAGCAAAAGATAACTGTACCGGGTCAAGGTCTAAAAGAGAAATCTAAAGATAGTTTAACAAGCACTTACAACACACCACAAATCAAAAAGGAAAAGGACAAAGGAAAAAGAGAGAAAGATGAAAAGGAAAGGGTTAAAGAGAAGGAGAAGAAGGACAAGGATAGGAGTAAAGAGAAGGAAAGGGATAAAAAGGATCGGGGGAAAGACAGGGATAGAGAGAAGGACAGGATGAGAGAGCAGGATAAAGTTAAGGCTGAGGGAGGAAGAGAGAGTGGAACATCAACGCAGCCGCTGCAGCACTTAAGGAAAAAAGAGGACGAGGAGCGGACAAGAGAGGGCAGTAAAGCCTCTCAGACGTCCCTGCCTGCACAGAGAGACGAGAAATGGGCCAAGGAATGGGACTTAAAGACACAACCCCAAGTCAAGAGAGAGAAGGAGCACGATAAAGACAGGGTGGGCACGCAGGGAGTGTCTCACTTACGGCCTGACAGAGAGGAGGCTCGAGACGCCTGCTCACATAAACACAAGTCTTCACACGGGAAGAAGGAGAAAAGCGGGCACAGGGAGGGCAACATGTCGAGTGCGCAGGGGGTGCAGGCAAAGTCGGGGAGAGAGGACGGGAAGACGGGCACCCCCAAACCTGCCAACATTCAAGTTAAGAAAGACGGAAAGAAGGAAGTCAACAGTAAAGAGGAGAGGAAGAAGTCTGCCTCTGGTGCCGCGCCACCAGAACACAAACCACCACGGACGCTCATCACCTTTGACCTCTTTAAGCCGATGGAGGCTCACCAGACACTGGCCCTTTCCTTCACAGACAGTCGGCCTAAGACCCACCATCACAGTGACTCTCGAGGCTCTTCCTCTAAGCCTGGATCGGACAGTCGGACAGTTGTGCCCTCTAAAGGCCCAAAAGTAAAGGACTCAGTGCAGGGAAAACCTGCCACACCCCTACAGGACACTCGGCCGCAGCAGCACTCGTTAAAACAGCCCCTTAAAACACACACACCCCAAACACAGAAAGACTTCTTAATATGAATGTCTAGATGTCTAGTCTTCTTTTTTTACTGTACAACTTACGCCGAGGCTTTGGTAAAGTATTTGAAAATGCATCCTTCCTTCAGACACCAACTGGTCTCCCTAATTTTTAACCAAAAGGCGGGGTGCATTCTAATTCTTTGCCGACACAGCCACAATACTCCAGCGACACAGTGAAAAGAGGATGCACTCTCCAAGTACTTTATCAGTGCCTAAGAATGTAAGCTAAGTAGCTCACTTCACGTTTGTTAGCGAATGTATGTAGGCTCTATATAAAATGTTATGTGACCCATGTGTCAGTGCCTGTGCACTACTTAGCTTCGCTCTTAAAGCACCTACTTTAGGTACTGGACTAACCAATCTGAAAACAACCATCCTTACTCCCTGCTATAGGAATTAACCTACATTCACTGTTCAGGACATCACAGCAAGTCACCCAGCTCCTGCCGAAATCCTCTTTTCCACGACGCTTTAGTAGATGGGGTTCGTTGTTCATAACACTCCAAAAATATCGGAGCAAGTAGTTGTTTTCAGACTGGACGTTGTTTGACTCACACAGGGCTGTAAATGATACTGTATGTACCAAAACTGTACAGTATAGATGTTATTAGCACCAATGTGAGAAAATGTATACAGAAATTGCATATATTTTTTGTAAGACAAGTTTTATTTTCCATAGAACTTATTTATATCATTTACTGTCTGTTTTTATTTGAAACCGATGTATGTGAAAATTTTGTTGTAAATACATTTTATTTCCTAAGATAAGACTTGGTAGTGTGATTTATACTCTGATCAGAACCTCTCAATAAATGGTTCAAAACTACTGACTAAGTGTTCATGTCTTCTGCATTTCATCATCATTAAGGCTTCAGTATTTGTTTTTCTAGCAACATGAAAGACTTTAACCGCAAAATGACCATTTGTAAATCAATTACAAATCAATTACTCACCCGTGAAGGAAACTATTTCTCTGGCATGCCTCCAGAGTGAATGAAGAAAAAAGGCGAATCCTCTATGTGAATTAAAGTAAATGGAAACCAGCTAACTACACCAAAACATGCGTTTACAAACTCACGCAACTCGTGCAGTATAATCCAAGTCTTTTTTTCATCCAGTCGTGATCTCACTCCCTCCCAAACTCATGCGCTTTCACCGCAAACGTCACAATATTAAACACTTCCGCCTACCAGGTGCGCGCCCTGAGCGTGCCCAGGCACGGCTGCTCGGCCGTGCATTTGACTGTATAACCTGACGAATGGTCGTCCTGCGGGCGAAGCATTTTTTAAGCGGCTAGGGGTCAAGAGGTGACGTCACGGGCCCAACACGATCGTTCGCGATGAACTTTGGTACCACGGCAGCAGGTATACAGTCACAGGAAGTTAAGGATTTACATTCAGATTGTGTCAAATTGTGTCTTTTTTGGTACAAACCCCAGGGAAAAAAGTTTTTTGTTTTTTTTTTGCGCATTGTGCAGCCCTATACACAGTGCAGATTGGATAATTTCATTCTGTTATTACGGTATTAGTTTCAGTGTCACATTAGACAATAATGTGTACATATGACGTGATATATGTACCAGCCCAGAGTTCTCCTGGTTAGAATTCCTTCACTGACCATTGTTCAGGAGGTTTTTAAATTGGGAGCCAAATTATCCTTAGAGGTCTCCTCCTCTTCAATACAAACAGAACCGGGGATCAAAACTGGCAAAATTACTAAATAAAGCAGTTTTTCGTTATAATCAGTGTTTGCATATGCTGTTTGGCATGTTGGAGACGGACCGCGAGCCCAGCACCTGCTAATGTGTGCTCATCTTTTTTGTCCGATAATTCAGGATCCAGACATTCAGGAAGTTTTTACTGGGAGCTGAATTATCCGCAGAGGTCTCCTCCTCTTCAAAACAATAGACCCAGTGATTTAAACTGGTAAAAACACTGAATAAAGTGGTTTCATGTTAAAAACTGTATTTCCTACGCTGTTCAGCACGTCACAGACATCACAGATGTATGTTCACCTTTTTTCTGATTCAGACGTTCAGGAGGATTTTACTATGAGCTGAATTATCCAGAGTCTCCCCCTCTCCAAAACAAATAGATTAGGTGATTAAAACAAGTAAAAACAATCAATAAAGCAGTTTCACTCTAAAAACATCTGTGTTTTCCCGACGCTCTTATTGCAGAGGGGCTACTATCTATGGTGGATGATGCAAAAACACGAATGGCCCCATCTAGAGCCAGTATCTGGTTTGTCCGTTCTAGCCAAAGGTGGGAAAATGGTGGTGCAATGTGGTGTTCTCTGACAAGGCGTGCTCCCTCAGTAGATATAAACGGCTCATTCTGAGGTAACAAGAACACAATGATTTATACACACAGATGATGTGTGATGATATATTTAGTTTCTGCCAATATATCCCCCTATATCCCACACACTGAACCTGTAAGATACCAAACTATGCAGACTAGTGTATGGAAAAATCTTCATTTTGATTAAAGATCCAAGGATATCACAGTATGACACACAACTAGCTGTTACTCTGGTGAGATTTTTGACTTTTTCTTTCGCAAAAATTCCAATACAGATTCCTGATCCAATACTAGCACTCTTCTCCCCCATAAACCTGTAAACCACTCAGTTAAGAGTTCACTGGGATTTCTACCCCATGTCACTGAGTCTGCACCCTGCTGTAATTTAAATCTAACACATAGCAGACACAGTGAATATTATAACATTGACAAAGAAGCTGTATGTCACGTGGATCTGTCATGTCTGACCCACACCTGATCAACTTATTAAGGTCAGTGTTGGCCCTGATACCAATCCAGTGGATCAGATTGGTGCATCCCAAGTGAGAAATGCTTGAGCGTAAAGAGTTTTTGTCCCTTACGTTACATTTTAAAACCCACCCAAGTCCAATGGTTCAGTCCCTCCTGTAGTGGAAAACACTGTGTCCCAGCTCCACCAGAGCCCCACCCAGCAGCACCCACAGAGGGACACACACCACACTGATCCACATTTCAGTGTGCCTCTCCAGGCGGGAGCACAGTGTCAGACAGAAGGCCAGCTTCAGCAGCAGGGCCGTCAGGTACCACAGCCTCCTCTTCAGGCTCTGCTCGCCATCCCTGGGGTCAAAGTCTGGCTTGCAGCGCCCTGCCATCTTCACTATCAGCATGAGGATGAGGATGGTGTCAAAGGTCCACACGGGGAGGAAGATGAGAAACCAGTTCCAGTGGATGTTAGAGTCCAGCTTGAGGACCAGCATGATGAGGAAGACGAGGGCGAAGATCCAGGAGAGGAGCACTCGCTGGGCCAGGGACATCTTCATCTGTGGAGGAGGACTGGCTCGGAGCCAGTGTCACCCACACCCAGGGAGACTGAGGACTACAGCCAAGGTGACACACACATACACAGTGATCTGAAAACAAACAAAAACACAGCACAGCAGGCTCACTCTCACTCTCTGAAGGATGTACCGCAATGACTGAAAATACGAGTTAACTTTGGTCACATATCAACACTATGTCCAGCAACACCAGGCTTTCATTACTGTGTCCCTCTGAGGAATCATTGTGTCGTTACTTCCACTAACAGCAGACCTGAAGCTAATGTCTGTTGGCTAGCTGTAGCTAACTTAAGAAACCCAAATAAAACCCTTATTAAAATAAATATATCTTACCAAGTTTACCGGGAGAGCCAACGTTTCTGAAAGACCAGCTCTTCCCCAGCGAGAAAGATGTTAATGCTTTTCAAAAAACGATTTAGTTATAACGTCTAACAGCTCGACAACAGCGAGTAGTACAGCGTAGTTAGCATTTAGCCGTTAGCCACTTCTAGCTTGTCTTCCGCAGCAAGAACTCCGAATTTTCCGGTCAGTCTTTTCAAAATAAAAGCACGAGTTTATAACTGCAAGCCTTCCGGTATCACTTCTTAAAACAAAAGCCGTATTTTATCAACTGATACACTTTAATAGATAACTGCAGGTATGTACAGTAGCTAATATTGAGGACACTGTTCATCTTAAGTACTGAGCTAAAATAAACTTGTTAGTGGACAAGTAACAGTTTGCTGATGCCACAGTAAAGAGTGACTCCCAAAGCTCAACCTTACAAATAAAAACTTACAAAAACTGGTTATTTTGGATGATTTCAGTATTTTTGACTTGGATTTTTTTAATCTATGTGTAAAGCAAAAAAAAAAAAAAAATCTAATTCTTAATGGCATCTGGTTAAGGTTAAAGTTTCCTGAGGTGAGATGGCATGGGAGGTACACGGTATCACAGTGTACAGTATTACACACTTATCATTGTTATTGTTATCAATTGATCCGTAACAATGATCGTAAATGAATGAAAACAGAAGGTTAATATGGCTGAACAAGCTCTTTATTCAGTGGCGGAAGGTCGTTATGATGGGCCCCAGTGCACGCTATTATAACTGGCTGCATAATGTATGCTTGTCGTGCATATATCATCTCGTCACATGATCAGAGGCTTGACACTGGATAACATTAACATAAATATTAGCCAGCAGTCATCATTGTATGACTGTATATCACAAAAAATACCAAAGAAAATAACAAATTATTGATTTTATTTAACAATTTTAATAGTTTATTATAGTTTATTTTGAATAAGCTTATAATTTTGTCATAGAGGCTATTGACTATTTTACAAAAAAATAAAAAATAATGAGACATTTAACTGAATGACAGTTCTTCATTGAAAACAGGCATATTTCCAAGGGCCCATTCTCCATCCAGTCTCTCTCTGTGGCCCCATCGCAACTGCACTGCCTGCACTGTCTATATTTACGCCCCTGGCTTTATTATGCTTCAGACTTTAAACCATTTTAAAAAAAACTGAAGCATGTGTGAAAGTCTCACTTTTGTAAATAAATAAGATAAAGGGAGATTCTGTCATTTTTGTTAAAAAAAAAAAAGTTAATGCACACTGTATGATAACTGTCAATTTTTATACCACTGTTGCAGCCCCACTTTGGACTCATGACCCTGGCATTTCAAAATCCTGGCTGCAGCCCTGAGTATAGTTGGCTTAAAGGTCTGATGTGAAGGATTAAGTGACATCTAGTGGTGATGTTGGAGAACTCAAACTTCTTCCATGTGCCAAATGAGTAGGCGAACGATGGTGATGATGCAAAAATGTGAATGACCCTCTCAAGAGCCAGTGTTTGATTTGTCCGTTCTGGGCTACTGTAGAACAAAATGACTGTGGAAGAGGACTCACGCCGTCCGTGAACAAAAACCGCTCACTGGAACAACAAAAACAAAGTTCTTATTTTCAGGTGGTTATAAATGAGTGAAAACATAGTATGATGAATAATATATACAATTTCTGCCCTCAAATTTTACACATGGAATCTTTAATGGAGCTTAACAAGTAAAACTGAATCCAGCCACTGCTATAGACTTCCTCTTCTTAATGACCAACCACATTAGAGGTCTGTGTGGCTACCTACTCATAAACATGATATTAATCAGGGCAAATACGCCAGAATAGATCAGTTGTTTAAAATAGAAGGCAATAACCCATGTTTTTAAATACTATTAAAATTTATTTAATTTTTACTGGGCTAGTATAACAAATTAATACAAAGTACAACTCCGTAGACATCATAGATTGTCAAAAAAAGTAAAGTACAAAACGCTTGAGGTAAAACATCATTTGAAAAAGATTCCGTTAAAAAGCCCTTATTAAAATCTCAATTCATTTAAAGGTAAAAGCTCACTTTACACGATCTAGCTGTCCTAAAAACCAACAATGCATTTTTATTTACAAGGTAGTGGTGGTGCAAAATACAGTGTGAGACGACATTCAGTCAAAATGTTCATGTCTTTATCAAATGTAAACAATAAACATCGTCATTCCTCAAACTCCCGCTGTACAGAGCTAATACCGAAAAGCTGTCACACTGATGCTCGCTCTAAGAGGAGTTTGCATTAGACCTCTATTACCACTGCTGACAATAGAAACAATTCCAACAGTCCACATTTTCATTAGATGTCGTACAAAACAGCGAGCAGAAGACCTCATTACTGTGTTACTGCCCAGAGGCAGATGACAGAGTGTAAACAGAAAATATAAAACTGTTGTGAGGCTCAAAAGACAAACATATACAAAACAAATCCATGATAAATAAGCAAAGTTTCTGTCATTTTTCCAAAGTAAAAATGTAAATGACGGCTGTAATAGCCACCTCCTCAGCAGAGGTAGAAAACTGATGCTGTTTGAAAACCTCATAACTCCAGTTTAGTGATTTTAATTACAGTTAAGGGATTACATGCTCCTCTGTGGGTCAAAGGATAATATGGACTATACTGTGTATTTCTTATTTTGTCAATAAATCTCATGTAAAGACCAAAAACCATCAATGTATTAGTCTCTCCCTCAATACTTTAACTCTCCTGGTATGTCTGTGACACTCAGCCCCAAACCCATGTGTTTCTATTGAAGACATAAATCTTTAAAATGGGTCACATATACAGTTTAAATTTAAAGAAGGCTGAATAGTTCCTCTAAAAAGCTGAACACTGCAGTTTTCATTAGTTACTCAAGTTACTTAAACAGGAGTAAATAGTGCATTTGTTCGAGACTGTTTTTAGACACAGATTAAGACACATTTGTTGATTAGTGAGCATTTACACTTCCAACAATCAAAATCAACTACAGTGCTCATGTTCAATCAAATGTAGAAACATGTCAGTGCAGCTGTGTGACTCATTGTTTGTTTCTAGTCGTTTTTCGGACAAAATTCAAGGTCTGAGGTGACAAGGTCAGTGGAATAAGAGTGGGTTTTGGTCACAGAGGCGAAACCTGTGGGATCACTTTACTCTGGATTTTGGTCTTTTCAAGGGATTTGTTGTCAATATAAAAAATATAGAATGCTTTAATTTATGATTGATTTATCACCTAAAGGTCCAGTGTGTGTAGTACTTGCATCTCGTGGTAAACAGGGATGTTCCTAATGACTGACGTCTCTAAAATGAAAACAGTCAAAATTAAGCACATTTTAAACTTTAAGGTTTAAACTGAAAAAGTTGTTGGGTATATCACAAGAGCCATTTGAAATTGTTAATCACATTTTTCAATAACCCTAGCGTATTTAAACGCCGCAGAAATGTGTGGCACTTGCGCTCTGCTTTATGAGCCTTGTGTGTTACCCTATATAACATGACAACAGCTCACATGATAAAATTAAAATACCACCAACCACTGTGATTCTATGAGATGTCCTATTTGTCCAACTTTACACCTTGCTATTTTTTTTCCTGCATTTAGCAGCTAACAGATGCTCGTTTTTTTGTTTTTTTTTATAAAGCAACATTTGACTAGGAAGACATGACACTTCAGTGCAAATTATGTCAATATGCAGTTTAAATGTGTGTCAATAAAATAATAATAATTTAAATGATAAATTTAACTTGCCAGTATTTCTGGTGCTGACTTTATCTACCAGTCTAATTGTGCACATGGCTAGTGGTGAGGTTGCGGAACTCAAACTTCTCACGTGTGCCAAGCGTGTAGAAGAACTACTATGGACCTATATAGAGCTAGAGTTTGATTTGTCCGTCGTGGGCTACTGTAGAACAACATGGCGGGCTCTGTGGGACAGGATATGCTTCAAGTATAGCTATAAACAGCTCATTCTAAGGCAACGAAAACACAAGGATTCTTATTTTCAGGTGATTACACACTGATGAAGACAGTTATGAATATTATGTGCAATTTCTGTCAATAGATGCCCCTACATCCTGCACACTGGACCTTTAAGGACATAATCTGATTTATTTAGGTTTATAGAGAAACCTTACCTGGTAAAACATTTCAGTCCTTTAACGATAAGTCAACTGGCATTTGTATTTTGTTGGACAAAGATTTTTTTCTTAGTTCTTAAAAAGTTGAAAACTTAAGAGTTGCGAGGTTTTCACTCACCAGTGAAAGCACTTGAAATGGACTCATAAGAAAAGAAGATGGTACCACTTTAATGAAATGTAGTTGTGATATTTCTTAAATCTGTCTCACAGATTATTACCGTACACACTGGAATGAGGAGGAGGGGGCGGGGGGGTTCCTAAAGGCAACCACAGCTACACAGTGCTCTGCCTGCTCTCGCGGCTGTACCCCATCGACTCCGCAGAGTGAGGTGGGAAATCAATAAATATCCCATCTGAGTCTGAGTCTGCAGACTCTAGCACTTGTCCAATTATGGTTTCAGGGCTGGATGATTCACTGGGCGGTGTGGAGGACGCTCCCTTACTGAGATCAGTCATTGTTGTCGTGGCCTCAGTGCCGTGCAGAGCTCCTGAGGAATGAAGGGGAAGGATAGAGGCAGACGACAGAGGCAATGCCATAGCACTCGCCCCCGCTTGTACGATACCTGTGAATGAGAGGGTGCTGGATTATTATGGATTATTACATTATGATTTCAATCTTCAGACCTCTTAATCTGTGTCATACCGTTGAAGTGAGAGCCCACACACAGCCTGTTGGAGGAGGGGCCAGACAGTTCAGAGCCTGAGGCCAAGTCTGCGTAGGCCAGACCTTGTTCCTCCAGGCATGTGATAATCTCACAGGCCGAGTGGCGCCGAATTCCTCCGCTGCCAACAGAGCTGGCATCTGGGTCATACTCAGCCACAGGGGTCAGCAGCAGAGGGATATTGTAGCTTTTCGATCGTACCACAGGGTTTTTAGACGGCTGGTCAGCAGACTTGGACCAGCCCCACGGTAAACGCTTTTCTAAGAGGCAAGAGGAAGAGTAGGGAGGGTGTTTAATTTATGTCACACGTCACACAAGGCATTATTACTCTGCTTTTGGATTCACTGTCTCACCCAGAACACAACAATTGGCCTCGGCACCATCTGCAGAGTAAAGCCCATGCGTGCCCAGGTAGGGCGAGACAACCTTCTGAATCAAGGACTCCAGCCGCAGGTACTCCTCATTCACACCACGGGACTCATGGACCCCCTGAACACAGACAGAGACAGGCATCAAAGTCACAGTGATAGACTGTATCTGTTGATCTGAACTGAAGCTGTTTCTTGGATCTTAAAGGGATACAACCAGCTTTGTGTAATACCAGTGTGGGTAGGCTGTGTAAATGAACTGTGGTAAACTTCCCTCCATCTCACCAGTGCTCAGAGCTCCCGGCTCATCTCTCAGTTTAAATCTGCCGGATGACCCGCTTTGCATCATGCGGCACATTTTCACTGGCTCTAGGGCTGTTGCTCAAACTACAGACTGAACTCCTGCATTTTTGTACGCCTGCCACGAAGGACACAATAAGTATCGAAGCAGATCAAAGGAGAGACTCGCTCAGATCAAATGGTAAAGCTAAACAGTGCTGATCAAATATTAAGCAACATTCTGTTACTGTTTTGTAAATTTCTCACCTAAAACATTTTCAGAAATATATTTTAACATACTGTTTAACTGTAACTTAAGAGCATTTGTTACCAGCTGGCTGCCATATTGTTTCCTGTGTCAAAACGGACAAGCCCGCATTACATCACCCACCAGCAGAAGCATTAATTGGTCTGGTGCAGTGCATTGCATTCTGGTAGTTGTAGGTTTTCTCCCTCTTAAGCAAAAACCAAATGCTACAGCCCTTTTCCTCTGTTACCTCTGTTCATGTAGCAACAATTTCTCTTTCTCTTTTGCATAGACAGCCAAGTTTTATGAAAAGACCATCAGAAAAGACCACTGGTCACAAACGACCATGTGCAAAGCTCAACAACATGTAAACAGAAAATAAACAAACACTGTGTGAGTAAACAAGCTATTAAGTTTAGCCTACCTGTAGAATAAGCAGCATCTGTGTGACAGAGGGGGGCACACGGGCCCGAGGTCGAGACAGGGCGTCCTCTAACTTTACACTCAAGACTATCGTGTTCCTGAAGTGAAGCAGCGCGAGCTGTCGGACAGAGGGCTCCTTCCCCTGCACACATCAAGGACACAGAGAACAGCAGAACTGAGCAACAATGATGATCATCATCCAGTTATTAGTTGAGGTTGATGATGCTTGGGGCAGCAAAAACAAAAACCAGCTGACTTCTCTTAAGATGTTTGCGTACCTGGACCGGGTGGAAGATGGCCTGCAGCATCGAGAGAACATCACAGAAGAAGAAGTCCCAGGTCTCTGCCAGAGAGTCGAGTAACTTCTGACCTGCATCAGTAACACAGAGATGAAAACAGTTGATTTAAACTGAATTCACACAGAACAGACCAGTACAAAATAAAATGTATTTCAACCTTTCATTCATTCAGTCAGTCATACCTTCGTAGAACCTTATCTTGTCCCGCAGGATGACCATGCCTTTTGTCAGCAACTGGTTCTGTGAAATACAGAAAAAAGACGCCTTTAAATATAAACATCTGAGACACAACCACTTTTATTCATCTGAAAGCCATTAACTAATCTCACACCTATTTCATTAAATATTAAAAGTGTATTACCTGAAGGTATTCTGTGAAGAAAAACCCCAACTCAGTCTTCAACAGATGCCTGAGAAAACAAAGGAGGCCTCTGCTTCACTTTATGACTCAAACACAACCATCAGTAATCAGAGGATGGACAGCATTCAAACAATATTATCTCATATCTCTGTGAGTCAGATGTTTACAAGCTGCAATTAACAACTGCATCACATGTGACTGTGCAGTAGACTGAATCATTGTGACATCATGCCAACAACAATCACTTCCACCTAGACAGCTGGAGACTGATTTAAATTGTGGAGATATATGAAACTGGCAAACTGTGGAGAATGTGTGGTAACATGTCTGCTGGTCATTTTCATATTTTTTGTCCTAAAATTTCCTCTTACCGGTAGATGTGGTTACAAAGATGAGATTAATAATGATCTTAGAGCTGGATTTTGACCTCAGTTTAATATGTTTGGGAAATGTGCCAACTGGGCTAATAAAGCAGGACAGATATTTATTACAGATCCTGTAAGCAGGTGGTTTAAAAGCAATAACCAGGAAATGGCTGAAAAAAGAGTCTCCAACGACCTCTGAATGGATAGAAATAGTTAAGGAAATTTATGTTATGGAACAATTTACTTTTTCTCTGAGTCATACCACTAAAAATGTGGAAAAAATGGAAATCTGTTTTTTTTTTTTCATTTCAAGTGATTTTTTTCTTTATATGTGTATTTTGTCTGTTTTATCCCCTTCGGCATTAAGTCATACAGAGTGTACTATAGCTTGTGAATGAGTGCAACATTTCTCCTTCCTTGAAAACACCCGGACTTTCCATGAATCAGAGTTATGGATTATAAGGGCCTTTGTGATTTTAAAGGACGATCATGGACATAAAGGACCTATTATCCTTGATACTACAATGCAGCTTTGGTTCTCTTCATTTTCTGTTTTGAATGAATGAATCATTTTTATTTCGGTTACATACATCTGGAAAAACAAAGATTATTTCACACAAATTTTCTCAGTCTGTAACCGAAAAAGGAATAGGCTGAAGCCCAAGGCTTATTTTTGCCTATAGCCAAAGGAAAACCCAGAATATCAACGATACCAAAGAAAGGAAATGAATAAATTAATAATTAAATACATTATACTCTAAATTATAAGCAACAATTTGATCACTTAACATTATAATCTATAATCATTTTGCATTTTAAGGCTTTTTTTAAAACTCACAGAGCTTCACAGTTTTAAATCAGCATTTTTTGTAAAAATAAATACATAAATAAAATAAAAACAAAATATAAAAAAAAAAATCTGCAAACTTGTTTATTTCTGTCGTCATTTTTCAGCCATAACTGTAACGTTTAAAGATATAAAGTTAAAGACAATGGTCCGACCTATCTGACGTTTATATTATACACGTTTATATTTTAGACACCTAAAAAAAAAAAAGACCCACCTCAAAGAATCAATATACTTTAAGTTTACGCTATATTTGAAATACTTTTACTGCTTTACCTCACACACTCACTAATGAAGGCAGCAGTTGACCACTGACTCCCGTGTTCTGCAAAGTAAAATGTTTTTTGTCAGTGGAGGCTGGTGGCTTTGAGATAATGGTTTCAGTTCCTAGTCTGCACTCGCTGTCTGACAGCCAGGTAAAGAAGTGAAAATATTCTAAATATAGCTGAGGCAGCATTTGCTCAGCACAGTTTAATTTTATGTACGTGATGTGGAGGGTTTTCTACCTGGAAGTTATTGTGAGCAGACATTGTGATTCCATCTATTACATGAATTAGAATCACAGGATGTAAAGCAGTCTATGTAGAAGCGCCCTGTTTTCCTGGTAAGTTGAAGAAATGTGTGTCAACCTCCTCGTGGCTTCTCTGTACATGGAAATATGTTTGCTGGGCTGTAATGGAGGCTGATGAGATAGAAGTGATGCGTCTGGTTTAGAAAGATAATGAGATATCTGGGATAACCACATGACTCCCCAGGCCTACATACAGTACACTTACACACACACAAACAAACTCATTCACAAGAAAACATTCAGTCAGCAAACGTAGGACAGTAATTATACTAATTATAGCACAAATGACATCAACAGACTCGATTAAGGATGTTTTCTCTGTGCTGTGTGAGAGTGTGTGGCTGTTTCTGTTTCTGTTTCTGTCTAAACTTACCGGACACCTTCGTTGAGCGTGTAGAGTTCGTTATCTGCCAAACCCTTCTTCTGGAAGACTGCGATGACAGCGTTGTGGATGCTGCGGCATGACAAACACACACAAACATGTCTATGTAACTGTTCAAAAAGCATTTTCAGCCACTAATTGATTGTATCTGGCGTACCTGTTCCAGGTGGCGTTGGCTCCTGCCCTCTTCTGCTTCTCTCCTCTGTCCTCTGGAGAACTTTTCTCGCTCTTCCCCAGCTCGCTGAGGCTGGGGGAGCTCATCAGCTTCAGCCGGTGCAGAGTCCTCATGAGGGAGATATGGAGAAAGTGGAAAGACACAAGCACTAAGTAGTGGACAGGAGAGAAAGAAGGTCAGGCTCTGCGCTGACATACAGAGAGACAGAGAAGAAACACGAGGAGATAGCTGGAGGGGAGAACATAAGCAGAGAGAGGGAAGAAGCACAATGACAATAGAAAGAGCGGCCGGTGACAGAGGAGAGAAGTAGGACAGAATGATGCATGGTGAGAAACGGGCAGCACGTTTAAGGAAGGGTGGGCGGAGCTAAGAGGAGAGGTGGGCCACCGCTCTGCCCAAGGTCTCAGAAGAGGAGGAAACAATAGCACATGCACTGATGGGGGGCAACTTCTTCCTCCCTCTCTCTGCTGCTCTTTCAGTACAATACAACCATTGATGCAAACAAATATTTATGCAGAGCACAGATGCCAGAGGAACTGCAGGGTAAGCAGACTGAAGCAGTCGGGACTTTGTTGTGCTTGTCACTGTACAGCGAGGAGGCGGAGGAGGAAGTCGTCCGGCTTATTAACAACAACAACAGGGGTAGGAAGCAGAGACACAATGCGGGACAATAAAGAAGGTTTTCCTGCTCTTCCATTTTCAGCACAGCTGGTGCAGGGAAACAAAAGTCAAAAAGCAATCCAGTGTGTGAGACTAGAGCCTGACCGATACTGGAGCTCTGATGCTGATAATGATGATTGATATTTGAGAGCTTAACATCCAGTTTTTGCTTTAATATCCCATTAAATAGCTTTAAGGTTGGAAAGCTCATCTTTTTCTACCCTGTCTGACAGTTTTGCATATATATGTTGGGTATTAGGTTGTAACCATTTACGGTGATGTTTGAACTCGGATGTTCATACTGAATGTAATATTCAAATCTAGGACTTTTTTGACAGCACCAAACCATCAAATAGACGTATTCTGGATGTCTTCTGCATCTTTTTGGACACATTTCCCCAAATCCAACCTTACATGTTTGATATCTTTAGGGATTTTGGGATCTTTATTAGAATATATTTTTTAAAAACTTGTGTGAATTTGAACAATGTTAAGCAGCACAGTTTGAGTTTGTAATACTTGACCCAACACTGCGAGGTCACTGATTGTAAAAGGGTGAGAGGAATATTTTTGACAATTTGGGAAACACTTACTGTCTCTCTTTGCCAAAGGTTATATGAGAAAATCGATACCACTCTCATATCTGTATGCAAACTATGAAGCTACAACCAGCAGTTCATTAGTTTAGCCTGAAGACTGCAAAACAAGGGAAACAGCTGGACGAATTTGTTTTCTGTAACTGCTTATCCTGTTAGGGGTCACGGGTGACTGGAGCCTATCCCAGCTGACATTGGGCGAGAGGCGGGGTACACACTGGACAGGTCACCAGACTATCACAGGGCTCTTGATGACATGTCTCCATGAAACTCCCAAATACATTACATTTAAAAACAGGGTATAATGTGGTAATCACTGAGTTTTAAAGTTGCTGTAAAGCAGACTTTGTTACCTTTAGACAGAGCCAGGCTTGCCGTTTCCATCTGATTGCAGTCTTTATGCTAAGCTAAGCAAGACACAGATATAAGCGTGGTATCAGTCTGCTCATCAAACTCTCAGCAAGAAAGCAGAAGTGAGCATTTCGCAAAATGATAAACTATTACTGATAATAATATATCATTCATTCATTTTCCGTAGCCGCTTATCCTCTATCCTCGGGGCGCTCAGGCCTATCCCAGCCGACATTGGGCAAAAGCTTGGTTACACCCTGGACAGGTTGCCAGACTACCACAGGGCTGACACATAGAGACAGACAACCATTCACGCTCACATTCACACCTACGGACAATTTAGAGTCACCAATTAACCTGCATGTCTTTGGACTGTGGGAGGAAGCTGGAGTACCCGGAGAAAACCCATGCTGACACAGAGAGAACATGCAAACTCTGCACAGAGGGGCTCCCCATTCGAACCCCCCACCCTTGTAACTCAAACCAGGAACCCTCTCGCTGTGAGGCGACAGTGCTAACCACTACACCACCATGCAGCCCAATATATCAGCCAATAGTTATTTAGAGATAACCTAAAGAAAAAAATTGATATGGATCCCTTTAAGTAGTTTTTAAAGATTAAAATCAGTTGAATTTGTTGAGCAAAAAATGTATTAAGCGGGACAAAATAAACTTAAATTTAAAATATAAACTCTATAATGGAGACAGAAGTATATCTCAAACTGCATCTTTGGCATTTCTCTACAGACATTGCTCATTACACTTCAGCCAATATATATCAGATTCCTGCATGGGTCTAATTCTCAAGACCTGTTCCCAAACTGGAATCGCAACGTGCAATACCGCACCCTTGCTGCCGCCTGCACATCTGACCAGTTATTTCTGCAATCCAGAACTGTCGACACAAGATCCATCACCCAACCCAAAACCCCAAATTCTGTTATAACCATCCTTTGTTTAAATAATTTGGTTAGGCAGGGCATTTAAAGTGATATTTTTTTTTACATGTGAAACTAAGATACTGTATTTTAAAGCAATGCTAATTCAGGAAATATTATTAAATTAATATGTTTGCTTGTTCTCATAATATAGAGCAGTCAGGGACTGAAATGTTAAAACATAAAATTCAATTCAATTAATATATTTATCATCCAACACCTGCGATCTGACCTGCATGTTCTTTTTTTTCACCCAGAAACAAACCCACACATACAATTAAGACAAAATACAGCCCACAAATCCTCTTTATTGCGGCTCAGGTACCCGACCCAATACTGGATGGACATATGATACGATATATCTGCAATAAGTTAACATCATCGACATATTGGCTTCGTCATTTGTTGGTCTAACACCATATGAACCTGTGATTCTAATCCTAAGTCACTTCAGGACATGAATGTAACAAAACAGAAAACACTGTTTGCATATTTACAGGAGGGACTGGTGAAAACTAGCACTGTGAAGAAGAAATGATGAGTTAGAGCCCACGCAGTCCAGAAACTCTCTGCTGACAGCACGGCAGTAAACAACAGACCCCCTTCCACGCCCACATGCACACAGACACAGAAAACATAGAAAGCAAGTGTACAAACTGATGAGATGTACACACGTAAGGAAATGAGTCAATCAAACATCCCACCAGGAAATCATTATCATCAGGTCAACATGTGTCGCAGGCAAAGCTCAGCCGCTTAATGAAATCTTCTGGGAGGAGAGACGGCGGGATTTTCATGAACGCTAATTAATATTTCATGCATTTTCCAGGATGCTGTGTGTTGTGAAATTTTAATCCCAGGAACTGAGTCTCACCTCCTGATTGGATGCTCGCTGCTGCTGTCCATGTCGGGGCTCGGGGGAGGGGCAGAGAAGGTGCTGAAGTTGAGTGACAGGGGTCTGGAGGAGGGCCGGGAGGCATGCCTCCGCCTGAGTCCATCAAGCATCTGAACGTGAGACAGGAGATGATGGAGAAATGGTTATTAGAGGTCCAGTGTGAAGGATTTAGGGAGACATAATGGCAGACATGGAATATAATGAAATAAGTATGTTTTCTTTGGTGTTTCATCACTTCAAAATAAGACTCATTGTGTTTTCATTACCTCTGAATGAGAAATGTATATCTACACAGGAAGCAGGTTTTCATCCACAGAGTCTGCCATGTTGTACCCCCATGTTTCTACAGTAGCCTAGGGTGGACAAACCAAACACTGACTCTGGGTGTGCCATTTGAGTGTTTGTGTTTTTGTGTCTGCCACTGTAGTTAGCAGCCTCTCCACTATGAGCCAAACATAATTGGAAAAACACAGATTTTTATAATGAAACAGCTTTATTCAGTGTTTTTACTGGTTCAAATCACAGAGTCCATTTTTTTTGGAGAGGAAGAGACCTCTGCAGATAATTCTGCTCCTGATAAAAACCTCCTGAAAGTCTAGATCTTAACTTTAAAGAGAGAAAGGGTGAGCACACATTAGCAAGTGCTGGGCTAACAGCCCCTCCGCAATGAGCTGGACCACATTGGAGAAACACTAATTTGAAAAATAAACTCTTATATTCAGTGTTTTTACTGGTTTAAATCACCTGGTCCAATTGTTTTCGAGAGGAGGAGACCTCTGTGGATAATGTGGCTCCCACTAAAAATCTCCTCAACAATGAATCCTAACCGGGAGTTCACAGAGGAGATGTTTCAGCTGGTTGCAATCTGTAATCCTCACCCCTAGATGCCACTATATCCCACACACTGCTCCTTTAAGGTTTGACTGACAGTAAACGCATCATCAAAGCCACACAAGGGTGATCACAAGATGAAGCAGCCCTGTGAGGCATCAGAGAAAAATGTCTGAGGCCCGGACACAGTCCCGACACTCCTGCTACCACTGACGATGAGACAGTGAATGAAATATGAAACATAGAGGCACCAAAACACCCAGACAAAACAAATTAAAGTCAAACTTACAGTGATGGGGTCACAGGAGCAAGTCAAGCCACACATTTGTGACCTCCTTAAGGGATATGTGGTGTGAAATCAGCTGGGTGCTTTCTGTTTCCTTTATTCTGTTATTTCAACAGAGTGTTTTGCAATCTCAAGCTACGCCCCAAACACACACACACATTACATCAGAGAGGAGAAAAAAAGGGAAATGCGTGTGTGTGCATGTACAGTCCAAGTGTGTGAATGATTCCTGTTTTTAATAAAGCCACAGAGCCAGTATGACAGTACAGTATGATGGTGTGTTTGGGTGTCTCCCCACAGGAGCACACTGGGCACAGTAAAGCACCATCCCCTGGTCAGAGGGGAGAACAACAGTCTGGGCTGTCACTCCACAGACAAAGACACAACACGAGCCTTCTTCCCTGCCATCCTGCGTGCGAGTGATAAAATGGGTGAGTGGTGTGTGTTCAGAGGGATTGCTCTGCAGTTTCATTACCGCCATACACATCTCAGGCAGAGGCACAGAGGCAGACTACACACTGTGTACCCGACATGCCATGCCACGCCAGTCTGGGCATTTATGCTTTTGTTCACCCCTCCTCCTTGTCTTCCAGGAGCGACTCCAGTCAAATCGATACCACTTTTAATTTCTATTAGTCCTTATTGTTTTTCTGCTCTATTGATGCTGCCTCTGTCATGTTTATTCGACATAAGATAATCAATCAATCGTCCAGACACGCAATCAACAGTCCACGTTTATCCTACAGGGAGGAATGTACAGCCAGTCGTGCGTACGTGGAGGGTTTTTCATTTTTTCTACCTGTGTGGACACGAGGATGAGGCAAAGTAAACAGCGTGACTGTCTCGTGGACACACACACACTGACACAATCGCATCATAAAGTCCACCTATGGATAAAAACTGTATGATAATGGCCACAAAGTTGTCGTATGTCATGCGCCTCTGCCCGCCCACTGTAGCCCTGCGCGCACCGTACCTTATCCTGTCGTGTTGGTTCCTGATGGGATGAAACGGTCATGTAGCTCCGGTGCCGAGTGTTTACCGTCCGGGCTCATTGGCGGCTGGCTCCTCTACTGTTCGCCGCCGGGCTGCGCACCCACACGGGCATCGGGGTGCAGGCGGATGGGGGGGGGGTCCGACCTGCTGTGGCGGTGGAGGGGGGACTCATTCATGAAGCATGCGCCGCCGCTCGCTCGCTCACTGGCTCGCCCCCGCTTTGTTTTGACGAGATGCAAAGCGAACCTGGGGCGCGTGGACGCGGCCGCGAGATGCACGTGCACGCGCGTTGTGGTTATAGCTGTATGCAAAACAGGGGAATCACTGGCACAGCAGCGCGAGGTTATCAGGCTCTGGACAAAATGTACACTTCATTCATCCACTATTAAAACGCGCACCTTCACTCCTAACACACAATCCTGCACATAGCAACCCACACATATAGATCCTTTATAGCACAACACAGGTGTGCACACCCTGGAGAAAGGCCTGCCTGTGCCACGTTGCTTTGGCCTCCTCCTGTACGCATGTGGCTGTATAAACAGAGTGGGAGGTAGGAAACGCAAAGTATCCAGCGCTGACCCCAATCTATGCCGTTTAACACAGTGGGTGTCTTGCCATCTGTCAAAGCAGGCGCGGGTATTTGGCAGATAATCCCCTATTTCCACGGGTCGTGATGTAAATAACTGGGTCTCGTGAGAAACTTCACTGGTATAAAAAAATCACGCAAGAGGCACTGAGGCATGCAACACATTTATCTCCTTAGTAAATGAGAACTGCATCTTTGCAGCGTGCACACACAGCTCTGCAAAACACATCATGATATCATATGCAGGTTGTGAAAGTTAATCTGTGCATGCAATGGATCAAAGAGGTGCACATTAACACACTGTGTAATCCAAACAGACAAAAACAGGAAGATTCTTTTACCCAAGAGTCAGTTTTTTCCACAGCCTACTGATAATTAATAGCACAATTTATTCAGAGTGAGGACGTGTAGAGACAAGACGAGAGAGGCCTGCTTGGGCTTCTTTCAAAGTCAAAAGTCAGCAGTCTCTCTACAGTTATTCCCTAAAATCAAAATAACACAATTAAAAGCACAGTATCACGACTTTACAGCACTCCCAAGTAAGATTATGGAGAGCAATGTAGCCTATGTCAGCTGTTTGGCAAATATCTTCACCGAACAAATGTGATGTCCACTTCAGTCCACCTCGTACATTTCTGTGTCTAGCCTTCAGAGATTGAAAACAGGCTTCATTTTGCATAATCTATCTTTGAATAGAATTGCAAATCCACCTCATGGTCTGTATTTTTTCCTCCACAAACTAAAAAAAGTGCAATGTGTCAAGGACTGATCAGAACATAGTTTTAAAATAAGATTATTTCTTGGAAAACCATGGCAATTTTTAAGAGGAAACTCATCCATTGCATCATCAGCACATTCATTACCTGAAATAAAAAACAATAGTCTAATTATTTATATAAGAGCTCATTTAGTTTAGAAATTATCTGTCAAAAAGCACTTTGTTAAAGAAATGAGAGTTGTGACTGTAACTATTACACACAATGAAAGAATGAATTTTTCTTGAAGTGTGGTTGTAATCCGTCAGCCATCATTTCAAGGAACCGGCTCGAGAATATTCCCTTCAAATCTATGCAGGTAAAGACTCCAGCAGACTGGCTGGTACCATTACCAGAAGTGTAGTGGAGGGTATACAGACATATGGTATATACCCACCTCTGTTTTTACCCATTTACAGTATACCTATCAGACAAAACAAAAAGCCACTGGAATACAGAGGAAAGTATATCCACTTCCTCCTCATCAACTACCACGACACCACTGACCATAACTACAGTGATTTCCAGTTCCCCATTGCCACTTTCATATCGTTACATCTGAATCACATGAATGTGTTTCCTGAAGAAGTAGTTACTAGGGCAACTTCACTTCTTTGACAAAAAAAAAGGTGGCTTTCCTCTTCATTGCATCAAGTATACCCACCCAGACATTAAATGACATTATAGTGAGAGAAATAAACTTAAAATGTATCAAAGAAAATATGACGCAGCATAGACTGTATATAAAGATGGACAACACGTCTCCACTTACTCATATTGTACAAAAATGAAGCCAAAAAATCTTGGTTGTGGCTGCTGCCATCTTATGGTGGTGATGTCATTTGGAGCCAGAGTCTGCACAATCTCCATGCTATAGAGTTCCCGTCCATACACACGTCTGACCATCACAAGCAGCGCCATTCATTGTGCCCACATACATTAGCACACACAGCTGTCAATCATGACATAAAACCTCCTTTTTCTAGCGCCACATAACTACTTATATCCAAACCTATCAGAAAAACAAACACTTGAACGTACACCATCGGGATAAGAACTACCTAAAATGACAGAAGCCATCTTTGGGAAAAATTAATTTGGCATGTATTTTGAGTTTTTAGTTTGACCCATGTGTCATCCACTAACATTGAGGGGGCGGGGTTTATGACCTATACTGCAGCCAACCACCAGGGGGCGATTGAGATGTCTGGCTTCACTTTTAGGGAGCTGTCATGTCCTCCATCTTTATTATACAGTCTATGCAACGGAGCTAACCCTAATGCTAGCTGCTAGCTTGGTTGGCTGGTGCACAGTCTATGGTTTACTGTGGTAATGCAAGTTTTTTTTGTGCTTGCAGAAAAAGGGCATAAAACCTCAAAAACAAAATGTTACAATTACATTTCAAAAACTGAAAACACACTAAAATAGCGACATCATCAACTGACACTGTCCCCGTGGTAACAGCAGCAGTACAGTTGTTATGACCAGGGAAATTAACCATAGCGTCCAATGCCATTTTTTGTACCAGGTTGTAAACATGTTTATTTCTGCTGTAAAGTTGGGCCATTTAACATGCAGGTCTGTGGGGATTGACTCATATCTGGACCTGCCTCAAATGGCCATTCAAAGGTCTACTGTTTTTTGCACTTCTGCGTTGGCTTCATTTTTCACCCCAGAGAGATATCCATACCCAAGTTTGGTCTCATTTTGGACAGGAGCAACTGAAGATCAATTCCAAACCTGACATGTTGTGGTCCACTTAAGTCAGGCATGATACGAGATTCAAAAAACATTTTGATGTATTTGCCGCCACCTTGACTGTGAGGGATGCAGACAGGACAATTCCACGGGACGCAGCTGCACCACGTGTATTGTCTAGAGTGGCCGTGATCAACTCCAGTGGCCACCTGGCTGAGCTCTTCACTCCATTTAGTGCACTTCTCTAGTTTTCTGTTTGTAAAAAGAGCGGACACACATCCTCTTCACTGACCCTGAGTGCAGACAGGAATCAGTGGGGAGGGATGAGGGGGTGGCGGTGTGGGCTTATCAAACCAGTTGTGTGGAAAAACAAGTTACACTTGGATGGTCTGACTTTTCAACCCACTGGCAAGAATTTGCTTTAAGTTGTCATTTCTTTCTGAGGGTTAAGAACAGCCCTTTATAGGTGCATCTTCAATCTTAATGGGTTTAATATCCCCTGTGTCAATCTCATGTGAAAGTCAGCGGAGTCCTACTAAGGTCAGGTCAGGTCCGTGGGAGAAAAGCCCCTCTCTTCCACCCCAAACTGCCAAACCTTCATATTTCTCATGTTAGGTTTACAGCGAGCAGGTAACAGAATTATATACAGTATATTATTCTTTATTCTTCATTTGGATCCCCATTAGCTGCCACTAAGTTAGTAGCTACTCTTCCACTCAGCAAAAAACAATAAACATACATCAAGACGTATACACGTTTGAAAGTAAATGAATAAATAAAATGAAAAAAAAAAAAAAAAGATTGTATGCCTGTCACTCTGCAGAATCACCCAATGATGTGTCACTTCCTCCTCCTAACACTGGATGGCAGACATGACTTACTTAGGAATGGAAAGATTCAGGGACTATGTTCAAAAGCTTCAAATTCAGATATTACATTCAGAAATAATGTTGGATCACCAGCTGTTTGCTAAAATCAGTAACTGCTTTACCATGGAGTCAGAACAGAGTCAAACAGAAACAACAAGACTGTCAAGCTGAATATTTAGTTGAGTACATATGGAAGTGTTTTGTTCCACTCTTTCTAGTTTCTGTTTGCCATTATGCATGTGCAGATGGCTCCATTAAGGCAGTGGGCCCTCACGTTTTTCCATAAGGGCCCCCCTTTTTATCACTGAGTGAAATGACAACCCCTAAGGTTCAAGTGTCTGCCAACAAAGCCAGGACTGATAATAATTCTCACTGCTCAGTACATAATTCACACACACTCTGTTTACACTAAATCAAGAAAACTTCAGGTCTGTATAATGTACAGTACAGAACAGTTTGTAATATGGGCTTATTTTCAGAGAAAATAAATGTAGGTATATCCAATTAATGTTAATTAATGATACTGTGAACTGCATTTCTGTGCAGGTAAAAACTCCAGCGCTGAAGCAATTATAGTTGTCTTGGGGGTCAAATGGTTTTATCAGCAAATATTTCAGACTGTTTTGGCTTTATACATGTTACACTCGTCTGATGGTGAGAAACGAACGGATGCAAATCCCAGCACGTTTTGCCAAGTAACATATCCACCCCCTTAACTTTGTCCCTAGAGACATATAGGAGTCCTATACTTTTATTAGCTCACATGTTGGGCTGTACAGTGTGAATATCATTCATGTAACAGTCAACTTGGCGGACAGAATGCAAATCCCAACAGGTATGAATTAGGTATTGTCAAATAATGCCTCTACCTATGACGCTCCTTTTCAGACACCTTAGGATATTTGGGGCTGGGCAGTGTGAATTTCATATATGTATCACATACATGGTGTGAGAAAGGAGGGGACGCAATTCTCGGCAGGAAAAAACATACCACTGCCAAATAATGCATCCACATTGTGGGCTAATTTTAGTTAGTTTAGTTCAAAACCTTTCAAATTTCAGACCAATCATCAGTCTGTCAAGAAAATGCTACTTTTGCTGAGTCTAATAAAACAGCATCACTCTAAACGTTCACAGTGTATGGACTTCAGGTAATTTATCGCCACTGATGACCCACTCAAAGAAGACATTATTTTGGACTGTCTTAGACCATAGAAATAACATGTATGAATTTTGAAAATGTGCATAGCTCCCCTTTAAAGCATTGTGTCAAACATAATGAAGAAAGGGTGAG